TAATTAAACTCAAAATTGACAATATTATAATACATTTTTGAACTCTTTTGGATTAATTTTTTTTCCTAATTTTTGATAAAGTTAATTTTAATATTTAAAAGTATTTAACATTTTGATTCTCAAAGGTTTTCTCTAATAGAAAATTTAAAAACATAATATAAAAAAATAGTTAATGTAAGTTTTCATTATGATCGGCCATAATTACATTCTGATCGATCATAATTGAAACCATATAATAGCTGTTCCAGGTTAACCGCTATCTAAGTGAGATTTTAAGAGCGGTTCCTGTTTAACCGATATCTAAACTGTATCTCGCTTGAGCGACAACATTCTCGCTCGAGCGAAACGCCCCCTGCACAAAATTGGTTTTTTCAGGTTGTATTTCGCTTGAGCGACTCTAGTCTCGCTCGAGCGATATTTTATTCTGATTGATTAGATTTTCGAAATGATCAATCATATTTGATAATTTTTTCAAATAATTAATTATAATCGATTAGTTTTCTAAATTATTGATTAGAATTGATTAGTTTTTCAAATAATAGATTAGAATTGATTAATTTCTAAATATATACTAAAAAATTATAATTAAAACTATAAATTAGTTAAGAATATTGACTATTGTAAAGATAAAGTAGAACATGGGAGGAGATGAGGATGATAATATAATGATAGAACTTACAAAAATGTAGAATTGAGAAGTTTGAAACAAATAAAATTAAGAAAATAGAGATTTAATTACACTTTTAATAAATTTAAGATAATACTAGTTTTGATTTTTATTTTTAAATATTTATTTTAATTATTTAAAACAGAGAAACTATAATTTTAGTTTCTAGCTACTGAATTTAAAGAATTAAATTTATTATTATTTAATCTTTTAATTTTAGTATTAAAATTTTAAATTATATTTTATTAAATTAAAATAATTACAATATATTTTTCTACTTTGAGAATGAACAATATAATTAAACTCAAAATTGACAATATTATAATATATTTTTGAACTCTTTTGGATTAATTTTTTTCCTAATTTTTGATAAAGTTAATTTTAATATTTAAAAGTATTTAACATTTTGATATAATGAGCATGATAATATAATGATAGAATTTACAAAAATGTAGAATTGAGAAATTTAAAAAAAAATTAAGAAAATAGAGATTTAATTATACTTTTAATAAATTTAAGATAATACTAGTTTTTAAACCTTTTTCTAATATTTGTTTTTAAAAATATAATATCATTTTTAATATTTTATAGATTTTATATTTATATATTTATAAAAGTAATTGGATTAAATTTATTATCCTCTCATATATTATTATACATTTAGCGTAATTTTAGTTTATTTAAAAATTAGAATACAAATATACTATATCAATATACCATTATATTATTTTCATTGTATATAAATTACAAAATTAATAATTTGTATACTATACTATACTAACATATTATTTGTATACTATACTAATAGTATAATATACTATATTATAATATTATTTGTATACAAAACTAATATCTTTATATATAGATATATAAATATGGAAAGATATAAATATATGTAAAAATATAAACATATAAATATATATATATAAATATGTAAAGATATAAACATATATCTTTAATATTTTGTAAATGTAAATATAATTTATATATATTTTTAAATCTTTTTCTAATATTTATTTTTAAAAATATAATATTATTTTTAAAATTTAATATTTTTTTTCAAATATATAAATATATAAAGATATAAATGTATAAGGATATAAATAAATATATAAATATATCAATATATAAATATATCAAAATATAAATATATAAATATATAAATATATTAATATATAAATATATAAATATATAAATATATAAATATATATAAATATATAAATATATATATATATATATATATATATATATATATATACAAATATATCAATATATCAATATTATCCCCTCATATATTAATATACATTATTAGCATAATTTTAATTTAATTAAAAATTAGAATACAAATATACTATACTATACTAATATACCATTATATTATTTTCATTGTATATAAATTACAAAATTAATAATTTGTATACTATACTATACTAATATATTATTTGTATACTATACTAATAGTATAATATACTATATTATAATATTATTTGTATAGAAAACTAATATCTTTATATATAAATATGAAAAGATATAAATATATGTAAAAATATGAAGATATAAATATATAAAAATATAAATATATGTAAAAATATAAAGATATAAATATATCAATATTTAAATATTATATATTTAAATATATATTAAAATATATAAATATATTTTTATTTATAGATTTTATATTTATATATTTATACTGGATATACATTTATTTGTATATAAATATAATTTATTTGTAAGTTATTATTAAAAGATCCTAGTAGCTCGAGTGGTTGGAGTTTCAACTCTCCAACTCTAAGGTATCGGGTTCGAATCCTGACAATGACAATAAACCACCTAATAATAAGTTAAACTTCTAAAAAATATAATATAATTAAGAGATAGGGAAAATAAATATAGATATAATAAAAATGTAAATAAATAAAAATAATTAAATTTTTCATTGATTTAGTGACCGATTCAGTGACCGATTCCAGTTGGTCACTATTTCGGTCACTATTTGGTGTTCTTATTGTAGTGATTGTATCTGGCATTATTACATGAGAAATGTAAGAAAATTTGGCAAGTAACAGGACCTATTTTTCTAAGAATTTGATAGGGACCAATAAATCGAAGAGTGAGTTTCTTTGTTTTTATTACTCTACCAACTCTAGTTATCGGTGTTACTTTCAATAATATATGCTCACCTTCTTGGAATTCAAGGGGTCGTCTTCTCTTGTTAGCATAACTTTTCTGTCGACTTTGAGTTGTTCTTAATTTTTCTTGAATCATCTTAATTTTTTCCATGGTTTGTTAAATCATGTCAGGACCTAAGATTAAATTTTCTCCAGTCTCAAACCAACATAAAGGTGTTCTACATTTTCTCTCATGCAATGCCTCATAAGGTGTCATACCTATGCTAGAATGGAAATTGTTGTTGTAAGTGAATTCAATTAATGACAAGTACCCATCCCAACTACCATAATCCTCTAACACACATGCTCTCAATAAATCTTCCAAAGATTGGATGGTTCTTTCTGATTGCCCATCAGTTTGAGGATGATAAGTTGAACTAAGATAAAGCTTAATCCCTAAGGCTTGATGTAAGTTTTCCCAGAATTTAGAAGAAAACATAGGATCTCTATCATAAATAATACTAATGGAACTCCATGTAACCTCACAATTTCTTTTTTGTACAATTCAGTCAGTTTTTCCAATGAATACATAATGTTAATGGGTAGAAAGTAAGCAGACTTTGTCAACCTATCCCCGATAACCTATATGGAATCAAATTTTTGAATTATTCATGGTAAGCCAACTATAAAGTTCATTACAATACTATCCAATTTCCACTCAAGTATGTCTAAAGATTGTAGCATTCATGCATACCTAACGTTCTATCTTAGTTTTTTGACAAACTAAGCATGATGCTACATATTGTGTCACTTGCTCCTTCATTTTAAGCCACCAAAATATTTTCTTAAGATCTTGATACATTTTTGTTGTACCTAAATGTATGCTCAATTTGCTCTTATGTGCTTCGTTTAAAATTAACTTTCTAATCTTTACATCATTAGGCACACATATCCTACCACTAAATCTCAAAATTCCTGTTTTATCTATGCCAAATTTTTCTTCATTCCTTTGTCCTATCAACTTCTTTTTCTTTTGAATAAATTCATCACTTACCTGAGCCTCATCAATTTATCTTTAGAATTTACTAGTAATTTGAGTTAAGTTTAATTTTATTCTATCTGAGTTTATGATAATTGATAAACTCATGTCTTCGAACTCTTCTATGAATCATAAGAGAAGAAACATGTAAAGATTTTCTGCTTAAAGCGTTTGCTACTACATTTTCTTTTCCTAGATGGTAATATCATTCAAAATCATAATCTTTCAAAAATTGCATCCATATTTTTTGTCTCATATTTAACTTTTTTTATCAAACAAGTATTTAAGACTTTTATGATCACTAAAAACCTCATATTTATCACCATACACATAATGTTTCCATATTTTGAGTACAAAAACGATCACAGCTAATTTTAAACTTACCACCATTCGATCAATAATGTCACTACCTTAATCAAACAAACTTGGATAAAATATAACATAATGAAACATTTTATGGAGGAATATGACAGAGAGTAAGTAAACACCAGAATACTCTTAAATTTATATTATCCACGATTAAATCTAAAACATTTGATAGAGGATTAACGTCTAGATAGATTAAAAAATAGTAGTGAACAATAAACAAACAACTAAACAAACTCAAAATAGTGATTTTCTTAGTTAATCATTATAATAAATACATATATTAGGACAAACTTCTCTATAATTACTTCTTTAAGAAAAAAATAAAAATAAACTTATACATAAATTAATTTATAATTTTTTTTCTCTTATAATTTATTTAAATTTTTAATTTATGTCTAAGTTAATTTTAATTTATAGAAAAATAATATTTTTTTTTCTTTTAAAAGTATTTATAATGAAGTTTGTCCAAATATACACGCACTTGTCGTATGAGCAAACTCGATCAAAACAATCGGTTCAAGTACTTTTGAAGAACGTGATTTACGATATTTCTGTAAACGCCTTCGGTTGGATGATAACTATCCCAAAAGACATATTCCGAAGCGTTAGAACAAGTAGCATCCAAAGGGTTGCATAACACTGCAACCTCTAATTTCCCTGTGCCGCAGCAACCTCGATCCATAACTTTATAGCCTGCAATTCAACAAAAGTTTAAAGAATCAGTGGCTAAATTTAGTAATGCAAACATGTATATTATAATGATAAAATAAATTGTCATGAATGAATGAATGAAAGTAAGTTAAGTTGGTAATACCATAATTTTGGTAGTTCTGAATGATATCGAGTAGAGGGTTGTAGACATCAATGTAAACAATCCTGCTTTTGGGGGAGCTGTGACCAAGGGAATCCAGTTCCTTCGAGAGTTTGGAATTGAACAACTTGGCTGCATAATTGTACTTTTCTGAGCACCCTCTCTCCAACCCTCCAGCCAGAGTTCTCTGTGATGGCACACATCCAATAGGTGGTGCACTCAGCACTGCAATTCTACGAGCTCCGAGATTATACAGTTCCTAATAAACAAACTCATACGATGAACAAGGCATAGTTGATTTCACATGCACCAAAGAAGATTGTATTATACATATATTAGAGTACTGATAATTACTTTGAAGTAGTGAAAACAAGAAGTTTAAGGTATACCTTCACAAAATTAGAGGCTGAGTTGACCATGAGGTCAGTGTAAGAAGGAATGTCATACTGCAATATTCTGGCGTGAGTAACAAAATAGGTGTTGGCAATGTCGTCACTGCCTGCCACAACAAGGTAAAGACTGTTGGCGAGGAGGAAGTTTGTTCTGCTCTCTCCAGCAATGCCTTTCAGCTTTCCTATGTATTCCTTGAACATGTCTAGTTGAGAAGATAATGAGATCACTGACTGAGTACACAGTACAAACAAATTAGGAAACAATGGTGAATTTTAGAAGAAAAATCATTAGTGAAGTTGGTTTAGATTATTTACGGCTATTTCGGGTGTCAAAGGATCGTAGCCTGAAGCACCGGAGGCAAAGCAGACGCCGGTAAGAAGATCAGTGGATTTTAGATTTGGATCCAAATATGCAGGCAAATACTCCTTAATGCCCAGTTCTTCAACTGAAACTCTCAAGGAATTATTTGCAATCAGATACACTTTCTTTATAAAAATTGATGACAAAACCGTGTCATACATTTAGAATATCATCAGGGAGATTTGAATTTTAGGGGTAAATTGGGTTGATTTTTTTTTTTAAAATCTAATTTATCTTACGTTAAATTTCCACCACGAAGCCAATACACGTCATCACTAAAAAACCATGATATTTTAAGGATAACTTTTATTTAACACAATAATAAATTGTACATTTCACAAAAGACAAAAATAAAAAAGTTACATTTTGACTCTCATGTCATATTTTAGGGTTTTCATATAAAATCAACTAGTAACATGTGGGTATTTAACTCATGATGAGATAGGTGATGTAGTACGTCCAACTTAATCTAATCCCTTTCTTAAAAGAATGAATTTGATTAAAAATGATTTTTTAATTCAAATTTTTAATTTCAAAACATTTTTAAAATCTTCAATAAATACATTATTATATACATATTTAATTAATATAATAATTAAATAAATTAAATAATAGTTATATTTTTATCATTTTAATATTATTTAATTATTTTGATTGATCACTTGGATTGGATTAGATTTTGGGTTCAACGTTCAAAATTTGGATTAACATGAACATGAGTTTTGAGTTTTTTAAATAAAATTGATTGGTTAAAATTTTGAATCTCAATTATATATATATATATATATATATATATATATATAAAGAAATATAATTATTTTTTAAATAAAAATTATATATTTATTTTAATTTTTTATCATTTATTTTCTTATAATCTAAAAGTGTTTTTAATTAGAATGGTTAATAAAAATTGTTTAAAAATAAAAATAAGTATTTTATTATAAATCTTACATATGAATTTTTTAAAATTTAAAAAATTATTTATATAAGTAATTCTAACTAATTTGATATCAATTTATTTATAAAATTCACAATAAAATATTTATTTTTAATTTTTAAACAATTTTTCCTATAAACTTCTAAGATACCAGTAGAGTATCTCTAATTGAAATAAGTTATTTTTTTATAAATATAAATTTATAATATGATATTGTATTTAAATATCTCACAATTATTTTTATTATAATATTTTTTAAATTTTCCTTTCAAAATAGTTTTTAAAATTTATTAGTTTCTTTTTAATTACTTTTTTTATTTACTTTTATAAATTATTTAGTAAAACAACTACTAAAATTTTTCAAGCATGTATAACTTAAAGATTTGTTTAATGAAGTATTATTTTAAGTAATTTATTTTTTAAGTAAATATTTGAATAAATAATTCTCACTTTATATTCTTTTATATTATTAAAAATTATATATATATATATATATATATATATATATATAATTACCGGAAATCATTTGCCTTTTAAGTGTTTTTTTAACTATGACCTATCCAAAAAGTACTCTTCACACTCATATACATAATAATGAAATTTTTTTTTCTACATATTTCACAAGATTTTAACTTCAATGTTTTGTCTTCAATCTTTTTCTCGGAAAAGATTAATTTTTTCTATACATCCATTTAACAACTTCTTATAATTATATAATAATAATAATTATTATTATTATTATTATTATTATTATTATAATAATAATAATTTTAAATTATTTTTATTTTCATAAAATTGGTTTATAATTATTATAATCATAAAACAAGTTGTCTTACGAATGTTTTTTTTTTTATGAGACGATTGTGAATATATTATTACCTTTCTTTTTTTCTTACTCTTTTATCTCTCATTAATCTCCTTACCTTCTTCATGCACTAGATCTTTCTAACAACTTTCTCTAAGCATTCAAAAGTTTTTATCTGTTTACTACAAGAGATAGTATTTTCATCCCTCCATTAAATTTTTGCTGCAATTAACAAAGCGAGGAAAATCTGCAGATGTAAAGACAAGACAACAGAGTGCAGAAAAAAGAGAGTACCAATAATGTCTGAAGGAATTTTTCCATTGCAAAATCGACCCGTTGGTTTTCCTCCCTGAAAGTCTTTCCCATAAGGTGGAAAGTCACACTTGACCAGTGTTTTTATGTTGTTGTTGTTGCCTGAGTCCACGATGGAATCTCCAAAGGCTAATACTGCTGGAACTGACACGTTTGGTGGCAGCTTCACAGCACCCTTTGTTCTGCACCATAAACCAAATATTACTATGAAACGGAGCAATGAGGTAACAGGAAAAGTAGTAAACTGCATGAGAGCCATTGTTGTTGTCTCTAAATATGCCACACACAAGCTTCTTCTCTATGGTGTCCAGGGGAAGGTTATATAATATATAAAGGAACGTAACCACATGCAATAACTGCATAGGTCTCGTACATTCAATGTTTTTTTCTTTTTTTTCTTTGTATATATCACGCAATTTTGTTTTTTAAATTAAGTTTCAATCCCCACGTGTTTGGAGGGGATTGATTTAAAAAAAAAAAAATCTCATTGAATTTTTTTTTATCCTATATGATTAATGTATAATTTTCATTCTGACATTTTTTTCTGATTTTTTTGTAACCATATATTATTGGTGAAGAATATGTATCGGTTTTACCAAAAATAAATATTTGTTGAAATTTTTTGCTGATCAATTAATAGAATTTTTCTTTCCAATCATATTTTGTTTCTTATTTACGTGACTCAAACTCAGTAGGTGTCTACTGCATTATTTTATCCAGTGAATTCAACTTTAAGACTCTTGAAAAGATTTGAGCTCAGATCAACTTCGACCAACAACGTATTATAGTATAATAGAATGGTTTAACTTATTCTAATTCATAAAGATTTTGAGAAAAATACGAAAATGGAGTTTGAAATTGAAAAAAAAAAAAGTAAAAAAAAAATGAGAGAGACTGTAAAAATTTAAAAAGCATTAAGTAATAATTAGTTTTTCACAGCTCTAAACCTGAAACTGGTACGTCCAATTTTGTTTCCATTGTTTTTTATTTTTTACATTTAATATATATATTTAGTAACTTTATTGCTCTTAAATTTACAATATTAACATGTAATAATTCTAATATAGTAACTTTATTACTCTTAAATTTACAATATTAACATGTAATAATTCTAATAATATATATATATATATATATGAATTTAATCTTAATAATTATTCTGTTATATTTAAATAAAACATATTAACATGCTAATTTTAATAGTATCATATAACAGTATATATATATATATATATATATATATATATATATATATATATATATATATATATATATATATTAAACATTGAGTATAAAAAATAATTTTTTTTGTTAGAAGTATTAACTTTTTAATAAGAAATAGCAAAACTTATTAAAAATTTAAATGTGATTCACTATACTCATGAGTTTTACATAGTTTAACCTACGAGACATTTTTTAAAAACAAAATTATGATATCTTTTAAAAATAAAATTTTGATCGACTAGAACTTTAATAAACAATACCTCAAATATAAGAATTAACTATAAAAATATTATTATAATAAAGAGATTTGAACAATATCATTCTTAGACATTACCGGATATTAAGAGATAAATATATAAATAAATTCTCGTTAACCTCAATTCTTGAAAAGGATTTTACTCATGCATATAGAGGATAAAATAAAAAAATATTAAAATTTATTTCGATGACAAAGAAAGAAAGTCTGATGATAAAAAAAATAAAATAAAATCAAGTAAAATAATTTCATATAAAAAAAATTTCATATTCGTTTAAAAGGAGAGTGACATAAAAAAAGGAAAATATTTATTTTAAAAAATAATAAATAATTAAATTAAAATTAAATATTTATTTAATTATAAAACTATTTCTATAGTTATTAATTAATTTTTAATAAAATAGTCTTTTAAAATAATATCTTTAAAATTATATATCTATTTTTTTAATAATATATATATTTTGATATATAATTATAAAATATTTTTATTATAAAATTAGTTAAAATGAAATTAATAAAATAATATTATATTATATTAAAAATATATAAATTATTCATTTGGTTTTTATAAATCACCTTTATATTTATGGTATTTGATTAAAATGATAATTAAAATAAAAATATATATAATCATTTATTTAATTATTAATAATTTTATAGAATGAAAACACTAGATTAATAAGCTAATATATTATTAGCAAACTAAGTAGAGAAGAAGGTAAATTGATTTTATGAATTTTGTACCCTTTCATTTGTTTTACAGTTAGATTTTTTGGAATGAATATGTGTAGAAGAGAGAGATGTATTAATGGTGTTTGAGGTGTGGTGGAGCAGTAATTAGTGGCATGGGGTTAGGTGGTGGACAGTGTAAGACTGGTTATGAGTATGGGGTCAGTAGCTTTCACTTCTACCCGCTCGCCCTATCCAATTAACGCAAAACCTTTACATCTTTGGTGAGTTTTCAATCTTCCAATAATACATGTTTCTTTTTACCCCTCAGCCACCACTTGTACAAAACAAAACACTATTTAAAGAAAATTAGTATTTGTCCCATCCGCATCAACTAACCCTTGATTTATTATATGCATCATTTGAATAAGAAAGGACGAACTACTTCCTAAAAAAGTTAGACTTTTTCTTTTATCTTAAATAATATAATTTCATATAGTAACTGCTTTAGCAAAAATATTATAGAGAATTTATATATACTAGTATAAAGAACACTTTTTTATATTTAATCCTAAAAATTTCTTTGTTAATTTGTCCCTTGTCCCATTTTGATGGACTTAGGTCTTAATTATTTTATGTGAAATGTTACTGATATATACTACAGATATGTAGTTAATGGCATCAGCATTTGCTGTTTAATTTCTGTTGGTTTGACTTTGAATTCAATCTGAACAAAATTGATAATAGAGATAGCTAGGGTTGTGCTTGGACACGCAAAGTCCATAAAAGCAAAGAGATAATGAGAAGGTCAGAACTTAGAATAGAAGTAGTCATTGTAAAGAAATAATTGGCAAGTTTTTAACCCAGCAAGAGACTCTCCATATTAATATTCATTTCTTCTACTTGAATATAAACTATTAGTTTCGTACTTATACTAAAAAAAATTATAAAAAAAGAAAAAAATGAAATAAAATAAAAAATATAAATTTAAGAAGAAATGAAAAAAAGGAAAATGTATATTTAAAATAATAATAATAATAATAATAAATAAAAATTAAACATTATATAATTATTAATTATTTTTTATGAATCAAATAATTTTTTAATTAACACCTTTAAAGTAAGATTTTTTTTAATAATACATATTTTAATATTTTATTAAAAAATTATATTTTTTTAAATACATAAGTTCAAATTAATATATCACATTACAAACAAATATTAAATATATTAAATTATTTTTATGATATTTTTATACTGTCACATTTTACCATAATAGCATAATTAAAAATCAATATATTGAAATTGTAAATCTAATAATGAATAATAATTTATTAAAAAGAGAATTATTTTATAAAATAGTATTTTTCTTTTTCTTTTCACTTTTTTTATATAAATAAAAAAGTAAAACTTGAAAACCTAGAATAGAAGTGACATCAATCTTCATCATAATTTTTTACAACCTAACAATAAAAATATACCTTAGAAATGTATAATAATAGTAAAATATAGACATATAAAAGTAAAATATAATAATAAACTCTTTATTTTAATATTAAATAAATATGTTGTTGTACTATATGTATCATTAATTATTGGTCAGCAAAATTTTCATTACAAAAATTACTTTTAAATTATTTATATTTTTTTTAAGAATTTAGCTATCGATATCAATTTATATAAAAAATTAATATTAAAATCTTAAAATATTAAATTATGAGACTTTCTTTTTTATATCTTATTTAATTTTTTTATTTTTAGACAATATAACACTTAGATTCATATTTAGATTATTTAATATTAATTATATATATAACTCAAAATAAATTAAAAATATTAAAATTAAAAAAATTATTTAAATTAACTTTATAAAATAAACAAATACAATTAATATCAAATAATATAAATTAGTTATATATTAATAAATGTAGAATTTCTAATACATTGATGAATAACATTTCAAGAACATAAAGTTAAAAATTAAAATATCTAATAATAGTTTAAAAATGAATAAAATATAAACCAAGAAAGTTTTTAAACTTTGATATGATATTAAAAATAAAAATATATCTAAAATTAATCATTTAAAATCAATTTATAAATTAAATTTATATTTTAATTATTCATTACAAATTGATCTTATTAATAAAAGAAATGAATTATTAATTTTAAAAAATCAACTATTATATTATTAATAAATAATAAATTAATATAAAAAAATAAAATAAATACATCCTCCGGTCGACTGAATATGGTTGATTTGACATTTCCATAAGAGATATGAGAAAGGGACAAACCCTACGTTATGTCATTCATGGATTAAAAGAAAAAATACAAATTTGAATAGCACACTTTACCTATCACATTTATTTGTCATAGATACGACGAGATCAGAATAAGAAAAAAGGGGGTACAACAATCCAATACAATGGATTTGACTCCACTTTAATGAAAATTTAATAACTTGCGGTTCAAAATCAAACTGCAAATTATGCAGACAAGGTGGGGGCTGTTTTCCCTCTTTTGCTGCACTTCGTTAGGTCAACCACATTTCAATCGACATTAAAGCATGAAATTAATATATTATACGCTAGGTAGCATGTTTAATTATTAACTTAATGTTTAATTTTAAACTGCACAAGAACTCTTACATATATGCAAATAAAGCAGTAAAAGTTACAATTTTTTTCTCTAGCAATTTGTAGCCTCCATAAGCCATGAGTGTAGAAAATTTTAGGAAATCCAAACATTGAGGAACAACATTTTTCACCTTTATTTATTTATTGATTGTGGTTGGAAGAAATTATGGATTATTATCTCCGGTAAGGAATAAAGAGACCAAGAGAATAGGAAAAAAAATGAACTAAGGTTATTACGTTGAAAAAAAAATAGAAAAAATGAAAAAATAAGTATGAAAAGTAAAGTAAAAGTGCATATTAATTAAAAATATTTATTTATTTGATATTATTATAACAATAAGAAAATAATGTTTCAATATTTTCTACACATTTTCACTCTATTTTCAAATCAACACTATATACTTATTTGTCTCTATTTTTTCCACTTCAATGCTACTAAAAATGTTACACATCTCAACCTCATTTGTATTC